AATCTCGTGCGAAATATTCTATATGACGGCGTACGGAACCGTAGATCCAACGCCACAAATACCTAGAGGAAACTTTTGAGTTAATTGACAGCAAAAAGAATATGATCTTAACAAATTTTCCTTGACGAACCGTTGCGATACCAAAGAGTGAGACCATGATGAAATATATGATTTTTAATGTATTGTGACAATAGAATCCTATAACCGCGTCACGAAAGAAAGAATAATAAATATATGAATAAATGTTTGAAAAGTAATAAGAGCACATACCATAGTATATCATAGGAATTGAAGATCCCCTAAAAAAAGGTAGAATAATTTCAATTATATTGTTCATTTGGAAACAAACTTCCAATTACTTACATAACCATGCCAACAATTCCAACGTAATCACATCTATTCCAGTTCGCACAAACCTTGAAATAAACTTTGCTTAATCGAATGTTGAATTGCGTTCAGAATTCACAAAAAGAGCATTTCGTTACCTTTTCTGAATGGTTGCAAAATGTATGAAATGCCGAGGAAAGACCAAGGCACATAAAGGCACCAGCCAAGAAGCAATATAGGACAACGAAATCCCACCACTTAACAGATGGATGTGCCAATAAATAAAAATATGTGATTATTGAAAAAAATATGCATATGACCGCACCGACGAAGTGGGACCAAATGTTTACTAAATTTATCATTAAAGGTAAGGTCAGAAATCATTACATGCACGAGACTCGGGAATAAATTGGCACGCACCGCTTTCGTTATGAAGGTAAAACAAAGACTGTACGCATTTGATATATGAGAAGGTTGGTCTTCGATAGCCTAATTCGGAATTGATTTGCAAAGTCAACTTGCCGTTTATAAAAGACGAGAGGCAAAATTTCCAAGGATCTTACCCGTGTGAATGTCGGAATTATCCTGCAACCATGAAGGAAGATCTGCGAAGCCACAAGTGAGTGCTTTATTAACTTTCCATTTTTTGAACCAATATAAGTAGGGTGTTTCTTCGGAATCATCTCGATTCATTAGAGGAACGATCTCATGATTCAACACGGATTCAGCCAGAATTTTTTTCGCCGAATATCTTTGCGTCATATTGACAACCGAGAAACCAGTGCAGTAAATATAAATGACTGATGATACTTGGAATAGAATTTTCCTTCTCTGTATATTTAGTATATAAAGAAAACGGCGGTTTCTTGCATTAAAGACTGTGAAAGACGTTGTAGATTAATGGAATGAAGGAAGGAGTGTATATTATCGACGAAAAAATGTCAATTGGCTGCTTTTAATTTGTCTGGAGCAATCTTTTTACCGCCTCCTGTAAAAACGAAAGAAACTGGAAGAACCAACTATGATAATCCAATATTATATGCATATTGGACGTGTGTGCTTGTGTTCAAGCACAAAATTTTTCCGCATATAGATCCTACAAATTGCCGCCACATTATTAATATGCAACTGACCTCTTGTAACTAAAGAAAAGTTTTAGCTTTTTGAGATGAAACGAAAAATTTTTTTTGAAATCCATCTTATACGTTCACTTGTTACAGTCATCGTTGATTGTATCTATCTCTTTATGTCCGTATCAGGAAAAATCCACGGATTATCCGAAGCACCAAGTAAAACGACAGTTTGTTGATATCAAACATAATGCTATGAAAGGTTTATTTATTTAACATTCCATAATGAATATTCTTTTGCATTATCAAATATAGCAAATGATTGGATTATCTTTACCCATTAATATGTCTTTCCCGAATAACCGGTTTCCACTGTCGACGCATGTATACACACATGTGTATATATAGGTGGAGGAAAAAAGTAAATCGCATAATGGCCTTCTTTAACAAAGAGTTTCAAAGTCATTTACGCATGAACCATTCATGTTGAAAGTAAATTGGTGTAACATGCAAAGATAAAATAACAATGTTGTACTATACATGAAAGACCTATCTTAATTTATATGTTGAAATTATTACCTCGTATGGATAGTGCAACTGCATGCCCTTACATAATACGTACAGTATAATAGCGTGGCGCAGCATCAATTTGATGTACGCCAAAATAAAATAGATCATTCCTTATTCCGTAATGATAACAGCACATTGATAGTAATGATTTTGATAGTAAACTTTTACTTAAATACACTTAAATTGGTTTATAATTAGAAATTTTTTTAAAAAAAAATCAATCCATTGTTTTTATTTATCATACACAATAAAAAAAATTATTTTTTATTATCATAAATTATAACTTAATAAATAAATAGCATAAATTAAATGATATCTATTTATTATTTTATATTTTATAAATTACTATTAAAAAATTATTATACAGTATAATAAAAAATTTTTTATTTTATTTAAAATTATATTATTAATTAAAAAATATTTTTGTTAATATTAAAATTAATAAATTTTAATTATATACTGTATATGTTTTAATAATAAATTTGTAATAATAATCTTATTTATTTAATTTATAACTATATATATTGAAAAAAATTATTTAAATAATATATTGTATATATTTAAAAAAAATTAAAATTTTTGTTTTTTATATTAAAATAAATTGAATTTATTTATTTATTATTATTATTTTAATATTTATTTTTTTTAAAGATAAATATTATTTATTTATTTATTTTTTTTTAAAGATAAATATTATTTATTTATTTATTTTATTTATTTTTTTTTTTAAATAAAGAGTACTAATAGCATATGTATTTTATTCTTGAATTATTTATATTCAATTATATGTCTATAAAGATTTATTTAAATTAATCTGTTCATATTAGAAATATTTTTTTAAATAGAAATAAGAATTTATAATATATTTTATTTTTATATTTTCTGAAATAAAAAAATTTAAATTGATAAATATAAAAAAAAAAAAATTTTGTAATGATTTAGTAAAAGAAATAATTTTAATTAAATGTTTTATTTAAATAATTGATTATATATTTTCTTGGTAATAAGATTTTAATTGGTTAAATATTATAGTTGATAATAAGTTTTAATTAATAATTAAGCTATTAAATAATTGATCCTAGAATCTATTAAATAAATTTATTAAAAAAAATATTATCAGATTGAATAATAAATAGATAAATAATTGATTTATATTTTTGAATTAGTATATTATTATAAAAAAAAAATATTTTTAATTTTTTGATAATAACTTTAATAATTTGAATTATATTTCAAGAAATATATTTTAAATAATTTTATTTTTTTTTGTCAAAACTCTTTAAAAGACTTTATTTTTAAATTGTTTATTTTTTATAAAAAATTTTAAAGTAAATTATAAAAGTTTAAAAAATTGTTAGACCTATAGATTTATAATATAATAGTAATGCTCCATAGGTTATCAGAAGCAGGTCTAGGGTTCAAATCTATTTGATTATAAAAATATATTACAAAAAATTAATTAGGCTATATAAAGATAAAATTTCTGATCTTTCCAGTAATTATAGAATTGTAACAGATTATATAAGAAAAGAATTATATAAAAAAAGGTTTCTGATCTTTCCAGTGATTATAGGATTGCAACAAATTATATAAGAAAAGAATTATATGAAGAAAGACTTCTGATCTAATTCTAATTAAATCCTATAATCATATTACATAAACAATAACATATTTGATATTATAGATTGGACTATATATCATCTTAATTAATTCTGCTTGATATATATATTAAAAGGAAGAAGATCAACTCTGAAAAGATTATTGATGTAATTACCAATATATAAAAGTATCATGGCTAAGAAATATTATATATATCATATAAGAGTTATACACTGTTTAATATTTATATCTCTAGATTTGACAACTTAAGTTAATTGAATTTCTTTGGAATGTTTACTAGAAAATAATGGAGTTATATTTTACTTGATTTTTTAGTTTTTAGATTTGATAACTTGTACCAATTAAAGATT